CATGTTTTTTATTTAAATTTGCGATGTTAATTAATCCTAAATTCTTTGAAATTGGTATAAAAATGTAGATTATTTAACTCTTTTTCATATGACACCAAACTCTTGGTGGTTAAAGATTCCCTTAAAATATTATTTGCGCGATACAATTTTTTAGTCAAAAGGATCGCTTTTTGGGGGGGGGGGCGCCCCCTGGCCACACCCACCACTTAGAACATGCCAGACAGTCAATTTGGTATATGGAGCTATGCGATCTTTACATCTGTGCACATGAAAATTGGTTTCCTTTCCAGCTAGGTTAACCCCTCTGGCTATAACTTTAAAAATTCATAACTTTCATATTTTAAATCGGATTTTAAAAACCAAGGGTGGACTTCCCCTGCACACGTTCTCAAACTTCTCACTTGACTGTTTGCGAAGTTATAGTGTGAGGAACTGTTAGTACAAACAACAGTGGTCAAATATTCTTGCTTCCTTATCTGATGAGTGAACTAATATTTATATTTGAAGAGTTTAATTCCAAAAGGGGCTAAATTCAATTAGGATTTTTTGAGTAATAAAACAAAATCTTGCCAAAGAATGGAACTAGTCTGGATTAACTTCCAGTTCCCATTAACAACTTTACCTAAATATTAGTTGCACATATTAACATGTATATCTTGTATATTGAATATTGATTGATTGATTTTATTCGCCAGGTCTTCAACATACAACAATATAGAAGAATAACAGATCAAAATTAAGTCAGCTTGAACAGGATAACCCACGAAAGCTCGTGAGCTTATTTCCAGTCGAATGAAACGAGTTTGGATTTAGCAACTTTTGGAGTGAAACGAAAGTTTGCTATAAAAAATGTCTACTTTCGAACCATATTTTCAAAATGCAATAAAGTCACATATTCATCTAAAAAAAAATAATCAAATTTAGTCAAACGCGGCTTTAGCCCCATTAGGAATTAAGCTTTGAATTTACCAACATGCTCAAGAATAAAGGGAAAACGCCCTAGGCACTATAGGGAAAAATTACAATTGATCTGGTTTTCATAGCAAACAAACGGGGAAGGGCCTGAACAAATTGACTATAATTATGAGAGGGAACGCAGACACAAAATTATTTTGTTGTTTGATAAACAAATATTGTTCCTTTCTTTTCAAATATGAAGTATACGATCTAACCTTTTGAAATTAACAAAAGTAAAAGAAAACACAAAAGAGCAAAGTGACCGAGAGTTTTTGAAAGGTGACCCTTTCAAAAACGCAATTCATGGCCTTGATACTAAAGTTCTGGCGAAAGAAAAGGCGTTGTTTGCAGGGGCGGCGATTTCTTTTCATGACCGGGGGGGGGGGGACGAAATACGAGGAGAAATTTGTATTCCGTTGGTATCACCAGTGGCGTAATGGAGGGGCGGGGGGGGGGGGGGCAGAAGAAAAAAAATCCGCCTCACCACTATTCCTACGCGTTACGTGCAGGCCCCGCGTTATTTTCAAAGTGGGGGGGGGGGGGGGGGGGCTAAAGTATTTACGATCAGGTAGAGTGTAGCGTAAATTGGCGTGGGCTCTAGGGGCAGAGCCCCGGCGGGTGTCAAGGGCGGAGCCCCCGGAAGTTCATGAAGCTCAGGGGCTTTAGGCATTAAATTACGGTCAGATGAGCATTCAGGGGCCCACACTGGGGCCCTTGGTGGGGTCCAGAGCCCCGGAAGCTGGGGGTATTGGGCAGTTAATTACAGTCACTGAGATGAACATATTTTGATACCTTATTTGTGACACTGGAAGGACAATAATTGGCGTGGGATCCAGGGGACGGAATTTCAGGGGTTTAGGCATTAAATCACGGTCAGATAAGCAGGGGCCCGTCATATGGCCCCTGGAGGGGTCCAGGGGTCAAAGCCTCCGTACGCTCAGATGTTTTAGGCCTTTAATTAAGGTCGGGTGAGCATATTTTGAAACCTTATTTGTGACACTGGCAGGCCATGTACTATTCTTTCTTTTTTTCTATTTATCTTTGACATACTTTTACAAAATAGTGGGGGAGGGGGGCTCGAGCCCCTAACCTTCCGTTCCGTGGGTCCTGACATGTAGGCTTCTTAATAAGCATATGTTTTGCCTGACTGTAAATTTGGGGATTTTTATTGTCCAACAAACGCAAAAAAAAAAGTATAATTTACACAAAAGTGAGGAAACATCACGAAAATCATGTCATTTCAGTAACATTTCTAAATCACGGGTTTTGGATTAGAAATAAAACAAGTTTGAGTTTTATTTGGGGGAGACAAAATTAATGTCCCCCCACCCCCATCAGTACGCTAGTGGGTATCACGGTGATACCAACGGAATACAGGTTTTCTACAATATTTACTGTACATTCTAAAGGATATTATGCGAGCTAGAAGATTTTTGCATTTTATTAGTCTAAACGCTGGGGGACGTGTCCCCCCGTTCCCCCCCCCGTCATAACTCAACGTGCTTTCATTTCTAGATTAAAAGATTAAATAAATACTACAAGATTATATTTATACAGCTGTTATTTTTTTCTTTCTTCTCTTTACCTCTTCAGAGGAACTTTATTGTTCCATTTCAAAATACATATATATATATATATATATATACAGGCGCGTACGCAGGGGGGGGGGGGGGTTTGGGGGGTTAAAACCCCCCTTTGGAATTTTTTGTGTGTAAACCCCCCTAAAAAAAACCTAAAACCCCCCCCCCCTTTTGGATTTTTTTTTTTTTTTTTTTTTTTTTTTTTTTTTTTTAATTATTAAAAAAAAAAAAAAAAAAAAAAAAAAAAATTATTCCCATGGCCGACCTAAAAAAGGTGACCTTACCCCCCCCCAACGGAGCAAAATGTCAAATTTCCAAATTTCGAGACCAAAAAAAAAAAAAAAAGTGTCCTTTACCCCCCCCCCCCCCCCCCCACCCCCCCCCCCCCCCCCCCCCCCCCCCCCCCCCCCCCCCCCCCCCCCCCCCCCCCCCCCCCCCCCCCCCCCCCCCCCCCCCCCCCGCTTATTCAGCGGTCGGCTGAGTCGTTGCGATTTTTTTGGGACCAAAAAAAAAAAAAAATGTGTCCTCTTACCCCCCCCCCCCCGCTTATTCAGCGGCTGGCTGAGTCGTTGCGAAATTTTCGGACCGATTTATAAATGTTAAAACCCCCCCCTTGAAAAAATCCTGCGTACGCGCCTGTATATATATATATATATATATATATATATATAAGCAAGTTTAGTGAAACTGCAATTTCTGACAGTGCTCAACTGTAGGAGCAAATGTAGATATAGGAGTTGGAAGGTTACACTTTATTGGTACGAGTTATACAGACTGTTTCGCCAGAAGGCTCATCAGTAACTAAATACATAATACAATCATGGCGAAGTTAAAAACACTCATGTGCAGTCAGGCAAGAATACAAAAGAGACACAATTGTGTCTCTTTTGTATTCTTGCCTATGTATGGTAGTGAAACATGGACTTTAGCGTCTGATACTAAAAAGCGTTTGGAAAGGGTTTATAGGGTTAAATTTGTAGATATTGGACATTTAATTTGTCGGTAATTGGTCGCTAGTTTTGTCGGTAATCGTTGGCCTCTACACCCCCCCCCCCCCCCCCCCCCCCCCACTGAAAAAGGTCTAGCGACGCCCCTGCTTATGTATGGTAGTGAAACATGGACTTTAGCGTCTGATACTAAAAAGCGTTTGGAAAGTTGCGAAATGTGGTTCTTAAAGGTAATACAAAGTTTTGGGAAATTTTGGAAATTGGGTGGGTAGTGAATCTTTACAATTTTGATATATTTGGATGCCCCTGTGGATGTTTTATAAGCACTAAAAAAATTAGCCTCTAAAAAATTTCTGTTTTCGAGAAAAATTGAATATAAAAATTTACCGGTGCTCCCGGTAAATTTTGATAAATTTCAAATAGCGCCTATGGCCGTACATTGGTAGCTGCGACCATGAAAATCTCAGAATATGAAGTTGGGATATATAATTTCCAAACGGGAATGTCTAATCGCTCGATTTTAGTCAAGAAACATTGTTTCATAGGTATATTAATATCTTGACCTTGAGAGGGAGCTATACAACATAAAGAGTTTATTATTTATAATTTCATAACTTTAGACTCGATTTCAACCGCGACAACGATCAATGTATATTGTAGGAACGCATATGCTTCCAATATGTTATTTTGAACCAAATTCATGACCCCATACCAAAACTTTGTAATACCTTTAAGAAGAATGATGAAAATCCCCTTGACTGACAAAGTTAGTAACGAGGAAGTTCTTACACGAGCTGAAGTGCAAAGGAAAATGATACGTAGGATGTTGATTAGGCAGTTGAAGTTCATGGGTATAAATTACACGTAAAGAAGGCCTAGAGAATATTGCTTTGACAGGGAAAATTGTGGGAAGAAGGAGTAGGGGAAGAAGGAGGATACTTTGGATGGACAGTCTGCATAAATTGTTGGAAGAGAGAGGAGTGAAAGAACTGGGAGTGGTACTAATACAGAAGGCTAGGAGCAGAGGCTTGTGGAACAGCATGATCGCCAAAGTCAAACGATATGGCACTAATAGAGAGAGAGAGAATCAGCAAAACAAACGCCCTTGGGAAAACATCAAAAGCCACTTGAAGAAAGCAAAACGTAAATATAGATTTAAGTATTCAAGGTATCCGTGATGAATTAAATTATATATAAATATTCGGAAAAAACTGAAAGCCGCACACCCACACCACACAAAAACGGGGATTTACCATAACGCGCATACATTGTGATCGAACTATAGACGTGAACTCAGGATAATTATCTTAGGGTGCGTTTATGTTCAACTTTTGCAGGCCAGAATGAAGCTTTTGTTACGCGTTTAGTAAAAAAACACGTTTGAGTCCTTTCTCAACGCTCAACGCAACGCTTCTCTCTATTTCCTTCTCTTTTTTTCTCTTCTCCTTTCTTTTTTTTTTGTTGTTGTAATTTTCTTCCTCTTTTTCCTTCTCTCTTTGTCTGTTTGCGCCGATCGAGGGATCCGCCTGCAATGCTTTGTTTGGGGAGGAACGGAAATGGTAATTATATTAGTCTTGGCTTGCTTGCCCCCCGCAAGAAGGCGAAAATCCAGAACGGGAAGTTATCTCATCACTTCTTACGCACTTCAACCGTCATTCGTGAACGACAGGACATGCGCAAATGACGAATAGGCCTACAACATGGCGACTTGCATACGTTTCAGGTCGCAAAAAGCTTGTTCTTTCTTGCTTTTCTGCTTGGTTTGTGTTGGATTGATGCTTACCATCCAGCAGCTATGGCTTCAACGAGTGAGTATAATACGAGCATTTAGACGAGAATAGTTATTGTCATATATTCACATATACGTTTGATGATTGAAGGGGGAACATATACCGATGTAGTTGTACTGTGTCTCGGTCACCTGACACTATACGGCCATTAACTGATATTCCTTACCACTCATTAGCAAATCTACTGCATCTAATATTCATGTTGTATAAGCAAACTGATATAATTATGTATATGATATCTGCAAAAAAACAAACTGGGAATTAGGATACGCTCCTAAAGGTCACAAGACGGACGTCAGCTACTGCGTCTTCTTTGTTCCTCCGCATAGGATAGGCAATGAATGAAATTATTTGTTGCATATCACGTTGAAAACAGAAAGGCTTTGATCAATGGTCAACTGACCACTATGATATTGACCTACTAGCCCCAAAATGTAATTGGATAATTTCCTATAGTAATATTACCATCATGTTCGAAGCTCAGTCATACTCATAGTATACCTCTAGCAGTTGTCTATTTGCGATATCAAAGATGATATCTGTAATGTCAGCCATTGACATAATGACCTATAATGACCCCCTTACTACAAATTCTAATCAGATGGTCTTTCATGGTGATACTGTTACGAACATCATACATATTCATGTCCATTTGTTTATTATTGTTGTTTTTAAATGTGCATCAATTTTTGCTATAACATGGTGACTGTTTCTTGTTGTTTTTCTTGGTGATTAAAAAAAAAGAAGAAGACATATATAATATATATATGAAAACGATTGGAGCTAAATGAACCTAGGGTCACCATATTGCCATGCTCTGTGCACACAACGATTACATATCCGTATCTCTGTGCAGCCGGTACACGCGAATGACGAAAAGATCTTTCAGAAAATAATACATGGCCTCTCTCTATTACAACTACACATGTACTCTTCATTGGCTTCTTTAGCAGGTGCGCGGACCGTGTAAGAGACTACAGAGTACTGAAGCTGCGACATCATAACAATCAATGTTTAGAATTGCTCAATTTGTGGTTCGTAATGTTATGAACCAGAACAAAAATATTTACTCAGATTGTCATATCTCAGTCAATACTTAATAACATATTTAATTAGTTTTCTACATTTGGATATTATTTTGGATCCTCTTTCGAAAAATGTAGTTTTTTTATGATGTCACATGCAGTTGACCACTCTATATAGGCAGGCTACACAGTTCTCAAACTGAATCATCTCATCAAAAAGTTTCGCTCGGCAAAGATGTGATGGTCTTACATCTCCGATACGCGGAGGATAATATGATCAATCTAAACGAGTCATACATGTATATGTATGGAAAGATAAAATTACATAGAATAATGATCTTAATGCAAAATGTTTGTGCATTTAAAGCTGCATACCCATTATAATGATCATCACTGTCAAAGTGTTTGATTTGTACGGTCATTGCAATGGAACAAGTCACAGAACATAACATAACATAATGTGTGATTTGTGATATTGCAATGTATGGTGTTTAACAGTATGCTGTAACTTGAATAGTGTTGTGTTGTGGTTATAATATAATGTCATCTTGTTGTGACAATATGTTCCCCAAGTTGAATTTAAAGTGTTTCTTGTGATATCGTGATAACGACGATAATACTCTTTACTACTCTAACTAGGACCTATAATTATATTATGCTATATATCCATGATATATTTCAAGTATTGTATCAGCAGTGTCATTGTGATATGGCACTCAAGATAAAAAGTAATTGTATTTATGTACGGCGACAAACGAGAGAGTTTTCCATAACTACGTCACAATCCAAGGGTCGAACGCTAGACAGGACTGACATGGGGGGTGTTTCATCAACAAAAATCGATCTGATCGATTTTAAGATCGATTTTAAGGCTTGATGGAACACCCCAGCCTTAGTTGTGAACGGCACAAAGCATTCGAACTGAAACTCCTCTATACCATCAGTCTGGCCTCGGGCCCTCAGTTGTGTTGGTGGTTATTTTACCTGACTGCTAAGAAAGCATAAATGCTTGTAAGTAAGCAACCAGACGGCCGACGGCTTTAGGTCCTCTCCGAGGGACCTGATAATGAGGATTAATGCCTAACCAAAGGGGGCACTAGCGCATCGACTTGGTTCCGAGTCTGGGTGACCGGATTACTAGACCATTGCTCTCTACTGACTGAGCTATCGCGCCTCCTAGTTTGGCCTCTGACCCGCATTTCAAAGTATTGTCACTCCTTTCCTATGAGCTATGTATTTAAAGATAAAGTTGAGTTCTGGTCATGTGATTGCATTGTGAAAGAAACGGTGTGGAATGTATCAGAAAAGGTTGATCATCTAGTATATAAGTATTCGTGTGTATTGCAAGGTTCTGGAATCATCAAAATGATGAGACATTTGGCCAAAGCGTGGCAAAGTTACAAGCACTGCACAGAATGATGTATATGGGACTACACGAGCACATGGCGAAAAAAACCTACCCCCCGATTTTTACGTATTTTATGTCATATTTAGAATATGAAGGCATTTGAAGAGCCATGCTTTTCAGGGAACTTGTTTAATCTGATGTTCTTCCACCCTTGCATAATAACAATGATAACGCTCACAAATTATTTTTTTACCTCTTCCCAGAACTCAACCTTCTCTTTAACAGTAAATAATGAATCGTACTCAGCTAATTTCCTTTGGACTTGACTCACCCAATCACCTCACAAAGTCAATACATTTTCTATGGATAAACTTGAATATTAATTGTTTACCAATTTACCGCCCTTTGCATTTTCTATTCTCACCAAGTCACCATAAAATCTGTTAGCTGGGCCTGTATTAAAAAATGTTCTTCAGGTGGGCGAAGTGCCTCTATCATCTCAGATAATTGCCCTTTTTAACTTTACAGGTGCTCCTTTTCTTTTCTTATATATGTAATTTGTCCATTCTGATTTAAGTGCTCCATTTTTCTTTTCTTCATAGTACGTGCCCCTAATTTAAAGCGACTGAGATAAAATGTTTCTTGAATTTACACTCAAAGCTCGCTCGTTACACAATCGCCTGCATTTATATTGATGTAATTCATTGGTCCTTTCAGTCTTTCACAATGCAATCGCATGACCAGAACTCAAATTTATCTTTAATTGGTATTTACCTAATCTCATTCATTGTGGACCATGCGGAAATGGTATGGACCAAGATGCAGTTCGAGGGGAAGTAGTTATAATAAAATTAACCAGTGTTGTAACATCACGGATATCTCCAATTCAGTTTTTTTTTTTTTTTGGCCGACTCTGTCGGCAGCAAGCCAGGACTGTGTGAAAAAGCGGGAAGGACTTTCATTTAACTGCGAAGTGCAGTTGAAGGCGCCGATTTGTGCTTGTGAACTTGTCACATATAATAGTAACAATGTCGTAATATGTAAGATCATTAATGTAAATTAAAACCATAGAAGAAAAAATGGATGAATTGTTATTGTTATATATAAAAACTACATATTGAGATCTATTACAAAGATTACTTTCAAACCAAGATGACATACAAATTGGAGTGTTGTTCTAGTTTCCAAGTGGTGAGTCAATACACTGATTACTGAGCTGGGAGACATTGCCAGGCATAGTGCCATGTGGAGGGGCATAAATTGGAACTTAAAAAAAACAAACTTGAAAACAAAACCGTCCAATTGATAACGGATAGTGCAATGGGCGGTCGGATACCGGACGTTTAAATGTTTGACTACAGCACTAAAACTGATGTGTACTGTATAAGGTTTTGGAATGATCGAAATACAATTGAATTTACTCATTTTAGCTGCCCTACACACTCCCGCCCGCGGGCGGCTGGGACGAGTAGTCGAGTGCTCGAGTACCCGCACTGTTGACAACTACTCGAGTACGATTTCTCATACTCAAATGGTGCCGTCGGTAAAAATGTTTTCCAACTCAAGCACTGTCAAACTCACCACTCAGAAACGGGGACCAAATGTCCGGATTTCTGTTTGGACTTGGAGGAAAATGGATTATTCTTCCATCTTTGTTTTTTAAAACAGCATTGTTTACTGTAGTGTTATTATTATTATTATTATTAAATCGGCGCCTTCAACTGCAACTCGAAGTAAAACTGCATGCATTTTCGGCGACGGATCTGGGATACTGCTCCAGTTGTATGGTGGTGGCAAAAAACAAATCAAAAATATATATATATATATAAAAACATGGCGTCCGAATATTCGAGTATTCGCTTGTAAGCCTGAGAATGTACTCGGGTACCTCATTACACTGTTGTGCAAAGCTTAAAGGTGAAATTCAAAGAAAATCACAAATATGTCAACTAATGTATCACTAGAAATTGGTAAGCTAACAGATGGCCATTGTACAAGTTTTAGGTCAACTACATATCGGGTGATTTATAATAATACAAATACAACCACCTTAGCAGCTGGGAAATATATACGAGAGATTCGCCGGAAAAATAACGATGTTTTAATGACGTCACTATATGGACCAATACTGCCCAAGCAGTAGAAGGCAACAAGCTATCAATTACTTGATGTTTGAACTAAGAGATCATTAAAGGTAAAGACCAGTATTGGAAACGCCCCAATTTCAAAAAATGAAATGGAAGCTCTCATTACCAATCATGTGAAAGAATATGTTTTGACTAATACATGATAAAAATTTGCCGGGAAACCGCCTACTAATTCATATATTTGGTAAATTTGTTTCTCTCATGGTCTGTGAGAGATATAGGGTAGTCCCATATACATCTTTCTGTGTATAGTGCTTGTTAATTTACAAAGAATGGGCCAAATTTCTTATCATTTTGATGATTCCAGAACCTTGCAGATGCTAGATGCTAGATGATCAACCTTTTCTGATCGATTCCACAACGTTTCTTTCACAATGCAATCGCATGACCATAACTGGTCTTTACCTTTAAGTCTATGCGAATCTCAAATGGGCAGTTTAGTCAGTGGATTGCAACATAGTCACGGATAACTTCCCAGTAGTGTACACAAATATTTCA